AATATTTTAAAAAATATTTACTAAACGCAAAGTTCTCTTGGAAATAATTATATAATTTTCAAAATATATAATTTTTATAAAAACCGAATTTTTTAATTCACCATTCAGTTAGATATATATAAAAATAATTATACACTTTCTAAAAAAGATCTTAAAAATACATATTTACAAAATTTTAAAATAATTTAAAATAACCCTCTTTTTTAGTTGTCATTTTTAAATCGTAACAAAATAAAATGACTAAAGAATGAACAGAAGAAAAGTACCTATTTTATATAAGCAAAAAATGAGATATTTACCGCAAGGTTGCTCCGCCGGTGCCCGATGTCTCTCCCAGACCTCCTCCTCCTCTCAGAGAGGGTTGACATCCTCTCGCACAGGACACTCGCGTAAAACACTCGCGAATAATGCACTATAATCGCGCGCGGACTATAACTTCAGTCCGATAATTTGAACGGCACTCCCGAAGCACAACACACACAAACGCGCGACGCGATGGCTTTCCCATTGGATTTTTACACGAAGAGAATGATTTTATTCAAGTGTCTAAAAATTTATCTAGAAATATCATTCAGATAGATCCGACAATTTTTAAATACTTGAGAAAAACCGTTCTTTTCGTATAAATATATTACATAATATATTACTATGCTATTACTATGCAATCGGTTAATTTTTAGAAACGAATATCAAAGGCACGTCTGCAATTCGTTATCATTGCGAAATAAATTCAGAGCAGATAAAAGAATTGAATCATTTGTAGATGATGTCTAAGATATGATCAGAGTCACTGAAATGAGCTAGAGATTAATAAAAAAGAGAAATATTTCTTTCAATAAATAATTCTAAAGTTACGTTTAATTTTTAAACGGATCGTATAACAAAAGGTGCACAAAAGATTAATTAACTTATTAAACTATATTAATTGTGAAAGCAAAAATTGCGTTTATTTGCATAAGAGTATTCATATTAAGTAACGTTGCTTTTTTATGACTCGTGTGATATCGTTCGTACAGACAAGTAACCATGTCGCGTGCCATTCTTCTTCACATTTCTTTTTGAAACATATAATAATCGCAAAAAAATGGTAGATATAATATGAAATGTTGTATTTTATGAACATTCACATAATAACTATTACTAGTATCAAGTATGATTGAATTATTCACAAAGTACAACGTTTCGTATTATATTTGGCATTCTTCGCGATAAGATTTCAAAAAGTAATGTGAAAAAGAACAGCACGCGACACGACCACCTATTTGTACGAATCTCAATAAAAGAATGAACGCGTAAACGTAAACATGACGCGTCACTCCATCCCACTTCGTGCCATCCCCATTCCAAGGTCGCGTGCCAACCGTCTGTCGAAATATTAACGAATATTACGAAGTAAAATAATATATTCTTAAATTTTTATTCTTAAATAATATATTCTTAAATTTTTAATGTTCTCCGATTAATGAAACGATTTCTTAATCTAGTCTTAGTGGCGCGAGTCGCTTATGTGATATCATAATTATATTGTGATACACCGAGGAATATATTTAATAATTGTTCACTTTATAATTTTCAATATTTCGTATTAATATTACAATGCGCTGATAAAAGGCAAGAAGTAAAAAAAGGTTTTTACTGGCGTGGTTTTTCTTACATAATTGTTCACGTGAAATGCTTTTGACATCCCAACATTATATCTTAATTTTGATTGCTCTTTTTGGTGATTTATTATACAATTAAATAAAGATTAATAATATGTCACACATCCTTTAAAGAATGAAGATAAACGCAAAATTTATTTTAAATTATAAAACAATTTCGACTAAATAGAATAATATAAATACTAAATAGCACATACATTTAGGGGTATATATGTAATTTAAATATAAATTATCTGTTACTTTTCCCGTATTAAGAATGCGGAGTAACACGAAAATGACAGAATTATACGATTCAAAGTGATAAAAAGTCACAATCTAAATATCTAGCCAGAAATATCTAACAATAAGAATGTCATTTTTATATTGTACATGTGAGAACACATGAAATAAATCTAAAATATTCATGATCTGTGTATGAATTTAAGAAATAAAGCAAAAACCATTGTAACGAAACCCCTACACTCTTTAGTTTTAGGCAACCTTACGTTATACGAGTTCGTGGATATCTAATTTTTATTAATTAATGCGACACACAGAGCGATTCGTAAAACACGTCCGTCCCACTTTGAGGTCGCCGAGCGAATGCCGAAGTGATGACGTAGCCAACCATCGCGCCGCGCGGCACGTCGCACGTCCCCCACTCTGTTTACTACGTGATACGCTCTCTTTGTTGTTCGCTGAATGCCGTTAGAATATCCAATTATTCGTATTTCACACGATTTTGATGAACGAGTATCCTCATACATATCGCGCTTTATTCTTGGCATCTCTAGCACTGGTTAAATCCTATATTATTTGCACGGTTCTTGTAAACGTAATGATCAGTAATTGTGTGCGTGTGTGGAGTATTTTTGATATTCCAACATTATATCTCAATTTATATTATTCTTTTAAATGATTCACACTTAAATAAAGGTTGATAATATTCTATACATTTATATAAAGATACATGCAAATTTTCTTAATATTATGCGAAACAATTTGCGCTAAATACAGCTTTGACTAAAAATATTAAATGTCTTGTTAATCATTATTTAATTTTTTAGCTAAAAAATTAATTCATGACACTATTATTACTGCAATTCTGTGTTTCAAAAATTCTTTAAACTTACATGTAATGCCGATCTCGGCATAAAATAACTGTTACGATAAAATAAAAAATATAAAATAGGTTATTATCGAGTTCGACTTATCTTGAACAGTTGGTCCTCGAGAAACTTTTGTTACCCATACATACATATAAAAAATTACAATAACGTATGTATTTTATTATTATTAAATGTACTCCTCCGTAATCAGTATTCCATAAGGAAATCATTTTATCCATTTATTTTTAATAAGAGTTGATTTTTAATAACGTGGCGGATCATACTTTCTCATGAATTTTAGTATCATATTAAAGATGCGATAAAAATTGTAATTGACATGCTACCAAAATTATTACTATCGTAAGTGATCTGAAAGATTCGAAATTCACACTCTCCTGTAACAAGACACCATTGGTGTCTGACGGATTACATAATTTTTCTTTGAATGGATCTTGTGAATGTGACGTAGAATCGGAGTATATTGAGTCCGCTCTCCACTATAAAAATTATTTTTTTTTTTGTATCGGATACTAACCAGCATACAATAAGGAACTTTGATGTGATGAAAGGCTCTATAGCTCGTTTTTGTTAAATTATACCTTAAATTATACCTTAAATTGACAATATATGTTTAGAAAAATTTAAATTTATTAAAAGTCTCTATAATTACTAGTAATTATAGAGATTTGGATACATTCTAGTAATTATGTTTGGTAAAAACGGGCTGAAAATTTGCATAAAGAAACATAACTTCGTAATTTTATAATTATATATATATATATATTATAAGACAAAATTCACACACTAAATTAACTTGTTTGAATTTTCAATTTCGTTTATTAAAATTCAACAACTTTTATTTACATATACAGGAGATGCAAAATT